ACAGCATTTCCCAGAGAAAACGGAAAAAACACAACAGCAATCAGAAAAGAAAGGACAGGTACTTGAAGAGATCGATTCGAGCTCTCTTTAAACAGCAATACGAACTGATAATCAGTGGAAATGACCACCAAGCAGAATCATTCAAATTATTATAATTGTGTTATCAATTATTTACTATGTAGTAATTTCAAAAATGTATTTAAATTTTCGATTTTTTTGCAAAAATGTATTTAAATTTTCGATAAAAGATTATGCATATTGTATAACAACAAAGAATATCAATCAATGAAAACGATCATTGATGAAATTTAATTGCCTGCAGAAAGAAATAATGATTTTATATAATCGATCAGAGTAGTCTGTCTAATGCCAACATCTACTACATCAAATAAATTAGCATTGCGAAATTTATTGAACTAATTATTGGATTGTTTTTGGAAGCGGTAAGCCTGAAGAGTATTTTCCTTTTCTCTCTCACTCACTTTCTCTCTTCTATCCTCATTACATCCTCTTTTCTGCCCAATTTCATTTTTTTTCGTCCTCTATCATCCAATGAATCACTGACATCAATTTAATGAAACAACACCGACAAATCTCTCTAATTTGACTGACTCACTTAAACAACATTCTTTCTCTTTCCTCCATTTCACACTCATCAGCCATAATCTGTTTTTTAACTTTTCTTAAATTTCCTCATCAATGAAATCGATACTTTTGCTTACTCAGTAATTGTTAGTTTCTCTCCCAATGTTAGAGCTTTTTGATTGCTGAAAATTTCTAAATTTCTTATTGCATTATTCGTGCCAGTCAACATTGAATGTAGCATATATTTTGAAATGTTTCAACAGAAAGTGATTCAATATTGCAAGATAGTCGCCATTTTCATTCTTCTTCTCTGCATGAGAATGGATGATAAATAATTCGTATTTGCGATTAAAATTTCTCTCAAAATAATTTAAAACGAATGGTTCAAACTCATAATTTTTTTTTCGAATCTCTGCTCACTTTTTCAACAACTGTTATTCTCAACATAAGATATGTGTTTTGTTTTGCTAAGTAATTGGAAAGTACAAGTTATTAACTATAATTTGAGTAATTATAATTATGAATTAATACAATAACTTGTGCTTATAATGTGCAACGCTCTCCCATTTATCTTTCAGTGAAGTGAAAAATCCATGCCATTTATATTGTTCATTTTATTTTCCAATTTATTATTGGTGGTATTTGGAGGAGAATTTGATGACCGTAGCAAAGCTAACGGTTAGCATTTTCCATCTCCCTTCTTTTCAATTCATTTCTGTTCTGTTTAAAACGGAAGGAAATTTTTAATCAAGCAATCAGTGAGTTATTGTAAAATTTATTTTAACTAAAATGATATTATCCAGAAACAAATTCTGATGCTAATATTTTTATATTACAGATTATGAAAAGAAATGGATGAAAAAAGGGGATCAAAATATATTCCCGATCGAATTACTTGATCGATCGCGAGAGCTCGAATATATTAGATATATAAAGGACATAAATGCTAAAAGTAAAGAGGACAATCGAGTGATACCCGGTATAATGCTGCGGAAGTGGATCGAGCCAGAGGCCGTGATCAATATTGATCCTGACGAGCAGGCCGTTTATTTGCCAAAGGAAGAATGGGAAAACAAAAATGTTAACAATAAGGAAAGTGAAGTAAACTTTTTCTTCTCAAAATTTGAAAGATTTTACATGTGAGAATATTCTGAATATTTTCTGAGCAATTTTTTATTTTGTTGTTATTTTGAGCTCACAATCACAGTTGAAATTTTGTGAAAAGTATCTATTCAGAAAAATTCGACAAATTCCTTTATAGAATTAGCTTGGATCAAACTTCGAAATGAAGATTGAAATTGCTCATTAATTATAATTCTTGAAATTTAGTCAATTTTCGAAAAGAGCGTTGTGTCGCCGACTGGAAAGTCGACGGTTCAATTATTGCGACATGCTGCTACCTCAGAAAATGATTTGCTAAATGATGGAGAATTCAAAAAGGGTTTGGAATTGAGTACTGAATTGGAACAGCAACCGAATATAAATGGAACATTCGAAAAGCAGAATATAACGGAAGTTTATGAACAACCATTTATTCAGATTTATGTGAAACCGCTCTGCAAAGGACTTAACTGTTAAAAATAACTGAGTTCGGAATGTAAAATATGTTGAGACCTGACGTATTGATTGAATTTTCCTATACTTTGTTTCTTCAATCAGGAAACTTGAAATTAGTTTTCGATTTCTATAAGTTTCAATTTTTGAGAGGAAATACGGTTGTGGGGTACCTCGCCGCTTGATTAATATTTCATATTTTTTTAAAATAATTGTCACAAAATGGAGTCAACTATTAAATTATTCACTCCCATGTGCTCAGTAATTAAATAAATTTAGACGTACGATCGATAGATCATAGTGATGTGTCAGAAAAAAAACTTCACATCTTGCATTTTACAACTTTGATGAGGAGAAGATTTGATTTGATCAGTCATTTTGAACTGTTAATATTAAATGATGCTGCACATTGTGAGTTTTGCTGATTGCATCTCTGTTGTCGAATTTTGTAGACTCTACCTGCACTGTATATAAGTTTTAGCTGGACAAGACAATACAATATAGCATGTCCGGTTGTCTTGTTTTGAAAAAGAATGTATAAATAAAATGTAAATAATTTTCTTGCTGGCAGGAAATTAAATAGAAAGTTTGCGTAAACAGTAATAACTACTACTTAAGCTTGTCATAAAAAAACGGAAAAGGTAGAAATTAGGCAAAGTTAAAAGAAAAAGAGAGTGACGAAAGCAATGCGATGAATTTAAATTGCAAGTGCTCCACTAAAGGTATCCATGACAACCTGTGATTTAGTCAACCTCTACTATATCTTGCCACATTTCCCTTATTTCGCAGTAAATATCTGAACATGTCAAGATTTCTTTTTCTTTTTTGAACATTTTATTGATTATGTTCGGTACAATAATTGAAAATAAATGAAAATTAATAGGGAATTAATTAGACTGGTAATCCATTGTTAATTAATATATCATCTCTCATTATAATGTATTATCATTTCAACTAAGAACTAAGAACTTTTCTGCAAAAAAAGAAAACAAATGATAGAAGATGGAAAATTGCATTTCTGCAATGAAGCGGCTCTTTCATTATTCGTGATGCATGAGACATCTAAGATGAAATATAAATAATCTCAATAAATTCCCACTCTTCTTGAATTTTCTTTTATAATTTAGATTGCAGGACCAAAACTGAATCCTCCAAACTTTTCATTGAAATGACATGATGCTCACTCTCTCTTTGTCTTATAGCAAATCGAGAATTCTGAAATAAAAAATGTCGAAAAGTGTGAGTACGAAGAAGCATTTGTCCGATTGCAATGGATCAGGCGAAGAGTATGTGTCTCAATTAGTTCAATTTTAATAAATTATTATAGTAAAGTTTTAGGTTTAGTGCTTGAACTGAAAAAGGTACAGATGATAAGCAGATAAGCAGTTAAAGATAGCAATATGCTTTCATATGATGTGATTTTGGTTTAATTTAAGATATCCTTTTGCAATTCCGGAACTCCCGCGGGGTGAGCTCTTTCGATTCATTCTGTGCAGTTCTTGGGATGACCCTCACTTCATTGGTCTCAGTGCTATCGAGTTATTTAATGCGGTTGGTGAAAGACCTCAAATCGACAAAGTAAGGAATATTTTTGATCAGCTTTTGATTCCTCTTTTCAGAAACAATCCTTTATTCTGGAGATGATGTAATTATTAATATCTAATTAGTAGAGAGTAGCAATTACTAGATAGTATAGATTGTTCGAAATGATAAATATTTATAAGGAATATATTTTGAGCGACTAATGCTTGTTATCACTTATGGATAAAAATGAAATTGCAGATGAAAACAAATGCAAACATAGCACGCGGCTGTCTGGATAATGTATTCAAGAATGGAGAAGCAAACTTACCCACCAATGATCCACGTAAAATGTGGTCTGCCAGGTTATGTGTGTGTATTTACTTAAAGAAATGCCATAGATCGAAATGCATAAATATTATTTTAGTGTAACAATTTTAGATATGACAATTTGACGGAATTACTTTATATAGAAATTCGCCTCAAAGAACAGGAAAGTATTGCAATGATCCGAATTTGGGTATACTTTTTTTTACTAATGCAAATTAAAATGAATTAATCAACAAGTGAACAACTGAAGCAAATATCAAGCAAAAAGAATTTTTTTCAAATTGAAAAGTTTTTAAATTAAAATCACAAAAAAGTTATGAAAAAAATTTTTGTAGAACTATAACGAATCACGTGTTCATGCATTATGTGGTGTGCATGATCTTCGTATCGAATTGGATGGTGCAACAATATTTCAGGGCGAGATATCATGTGCATTTACTTTTGAAAGTGAAGAAGAATCAATGGGTGATGTTAGTTATTTCTTGATTCACAGATCTACCTGTCATCCTCATTTTCAGATGACAGTGCAAAGTTTTGGTTGTGTAATGATGCATTATTTACTTTACCGATGAAGGAAGAAATAATTCATTTTGTTCAAACATTTTTGAAGTTGCAGAGATGAAATGAAATTATGATCGAATGCATACACAAAGATTACAGGAATGATTTCATTTATGTAGCAAAAGGGAGAGAGGGAGAGACAGAGAGACAGGGAGAGAGAGAGAAAGAAAGAAAGAAAGATGATTCTGCATTAATGTTAAAGTGATTTAGACAATTTTATTTACAACAAATGATACTATATTGGAGTTAATTGCTGAAAATGATAAATGTTTGCGAAGGGATGAAATAATGCGAAGTGCTTTAGATCTTCATGAATTAGCCGACGATCTTGAAGGTTTTATTTTATTTTCGTACTTTTAGTATCAAAATTAAATATGCATTCGATAAATCATTATTTTCATTTTAATGCAACAATAGATACGCGATATTTGACTAAACCATACTAATGATTTGTTATAAAATATTTTCTACATTGTTATAAGTTATCGTTTTGGTTAAATGAGATGAATTTGATTTGATTTAATTCTAAATCATATCATCATTTTAGCCTTTGCTATTAACTCCTAAAGAATGTCTGGTGAATTTGAGATATCTTAATTGTGTTTTATTTCCACAAGATAGTTGGTAATTGTTTTAGTGAAAAATGAAATTGAATGTTTCTTTATCATTGTCTTTAAAAATATTAAATGCAGAGGAATCACTTACAATTCATACTACACTTGAAGCGCCATCAAGGACGGGAACGATAAATGCACCAAATGCTCTTAGACCAGCTACTGGTGATCGAAGACCTCGCGTTCGAAGTGCAACACGACCCGGTGATAAAAAATCAACAAATACTGATGTTGCCGAAGAAATTGCTCCAAAACTATCTATTCATAGTTGGAATACAGAAAGAGATAATCAAATAGAAAATCATGAGAAGAAAATAGAAGAAGATATTGACCTCCCTCTACTTAAAGGTAACGCGAATTTATCGAGAATTAAATAATAACTGATTAAACTTTTTTCTTTAGAATTTATTGGGATGTTTATTTAAATGAAAATGATGTTCAAGGTTTAAAATTTTGCTGATAAATGATTATTATTAAAATTAACTATACCAGCTGCAAAACTACCATACTTCATCAAAATTTTACAAATCAATAATAATAGTAATGAATTTTACTGTAACGGAAGTTTCTCGTATGTAAGTTTATATATTATCACAGAAAAAAAATGCATTATGCTAAAATGACTTTGATATCTATGTAATACTGCGCTTCTTTTTGAATCAATAACAGTTTTGAAATTCATATAAATTGATCAATGATCTTTTGAATAATATGTCCAAAGTAACGAAGAAATACACTTTCAATATTTTCTTTGCTAACGGTATCATATCTCATAAAGCATTTTATTTCAACACTTTCCTTTTTTTGTTAAGCTCTCACTTCAGGAATATGCTTTCAGTATTTCATATGGAACTTCTGGAAAATTGGGGTGCACCGGATTGTATCGGCTTAACGGGTTTACAATTTCTTGGCCCACATGGTATCGTTTTGGATCATGTGGATTGTAGTATAACAACTTCTACTGCCACGCAAACTTCTCACAGGTATCAATGCTTATTAATGTTTATTATAAAACAGATGTCATACTGAAAACAATTGTATGCGATACTTCAAAAAAAGTATCTATCCGATACTTTTTTAACTATACTAAGAGTGAAAATAATTGTAAGTAGCACTTAATAATATTAGTACCGCTTACTTTATTTTTTTTCTAAACTTCCAAATTAGTAAGTTATTTCAACAAGAACTAAAGACTATTTCATATATTTACACAGAACTAAGAAGTTCTTTAAACTTCGCTGGAAGGATGACTAAGTAGATGCAAATCTATTTGAAATAATGATTATGAAGTATTGCACTTCTTCTGTTTTATTTGAATTTATTAATTATATCTGTGATAATCTGTTAAATAATTCTAAGTTAATAAAATGCAGAATTTAGATTATTGAATGGGAGGAATTTAACAAGAAATAGAGAAGATATGTGGCTTTCGTCATATTCACGTGATTCATCACCAATACGAGTAACAGTGACGTTTGTAGAACCTATTATCGCTTCTGGTGCATTAATTTAGTTGTATGAATACAACTATAAAAACAATATAAAAATAAAAACCTTTTATACTTATCGAACTTTAGATTTTAAAAATAAATATCTCTTAAGATATGAAGTCAAAAGTTTTCGATGATTTAATCTTTATCTGATTTTATTTCATTCATAAATGAATATATCTGTCAGGTATCTGCGTGTGGAATTACAATGCTTCACCGGAGATGTCATATGCGGGCGTACGTTGCATTCAGATGTATTTAAATGGCAAGCTACTTCAAGGGCCTATACTGCTAAGGAAAGCTTCAGGTTTTTAGAAATTTTTTTTCATCGTTTCTTTTTCTATGATTGTATGCTTTTTTTTAACTTTTACTGTTATATCGATTATTTTATTAAAAAGAATGAAGTTTTCAATTATCTTTAGACTATGCTTTTCTCTCTTCACTTTTTAAATCGTTGGTGAACGAACTTTCATGTCCCTTTAAGTAAAGTTCTTAAGTCTGTAGGGATAGATTCTTAAGTCTTTCGGAATAGACATTTGGAGATTTTTTTTGTTTCAATTGAAAGTTTCAGGATATATTTATTTCGATTACGTACAAGATATTATTTTCAACAAATGCATCCTTTATAAGCCAATATCCAGACCACAAACACAGTCCATCAATGGATGTTAGTAATGGCATCTTCAAAATTTGTCACTTTTTTTAAAAATACTTCACGATACTTTTGTTAATTACTTGTATACTTCTTGTTAAACATTTTATGAAGTAAGTTGATTAGAATATTTCATGTTTGTGCGTCATACATGAAATTGCCATTCCAACTTGCAGAAGACTATATTTTGCAGTTACATATCAATTGCTGTTGCATTGCAGTTGGGGTGATGAGTACTACATTGGTCTTAACGGAATCGAATTTTATAATCATCACGAGGAACTTATCAAACTTCTCCCACAAAGTTTGCTTATACAATGATATGCTTGTAAGGACGGTATCTCTCTGACCTTTGACCCGACTTACAAATAATTATACTAATATTAATTAATAATTTTCTTATCAGTTGAGATTTTTATTCCAACCGTATTGGAATAGCCATGACCAAAACTTTATAAAAGTGCAACGATTAGAAATGTAATTTTACAGATCTAGCAGCATTCCCGGAGAGTGTAAATATATTGCCAAATGTTAACGATGATCAACGAACAAGCGATAAACTCATTGATGGTTTCAATGATACTGAAAAGTTTCTTTTCTTACTTATCTTCTTCATCAAATTATATGATCCATAGCAATTTTATAAAGCGTATAATATTTGATTATGGGATATTATTTAATTTGAAATCTTTTTAGGTAGCATATTTTGTAAACGTCATAAAAGCATCTGTTTTAAACCTTTACAAAATTTGCCATCGTGTTAGGAATTTCAGTCCATCGCATATGTGGCTGACACCGATCTTACCTAATCGTTGTGCAAGAGTATTCGTTGTATTCGACATTCCAACCTACGTATCACATATCAATGTGTACAACTACCGAAAGACCCCGGAACGTGGAGTGCGGCTTGTCACTGTTCGTTTCATAGATAATGAATAATTTTAACAAAAAAATTGTCATTCGGTTCATTTCCTCAAAGTTCATGGGATCAAAAAGAAAAATGTAATATTTGACAATGTAACAATTGTAACAAAATATAACATTTTATTATGTCGCTATCTTTTGAGTTGTAGAAAACTTGTTTTGTATATGAAGTCTTCCTTAAATATGTTTTCAAATATGTTTATTTCAAACATGCTTAAGCATATCTAAAAACACATTTCTGAGCATCAGTCATTCAAAAATTTAAATATTTTAATCCACACATATATATTTGCATTTTTGAATATGTCTTTGCTTCACATATATTTTCAATTTATTATTAATAAAACATAATAAAGTTATATACATAATAAAGTTATTGAATTTTACAGATATCGGTTGACGACCTGATCGTGTTCAGCGGTGAGGTACCACAAAGTACACCATATAAAACTGGCATATTATCGATTTCGTTACGAGAAGAGTGATCTATTTGATAAGACAAGATTTTTTACCGATTACAGTATTTGATAAATATGTAATAATTTGTTTTATCAAGTAAAACTCGAACTTGCCAAGATATCTCACATTTCAATTGGTAGAGCCGACATTCTTTTAATCGCTGAAAACTAAACTAAAAAAATGATTATCTTAATTCAATTAAGATTTCATTTATTTCATCTGATTAAATAGTTTCCAAAACCATGAAAATCTGAGGAGTTTGAATACGAGGAATTATTAACTAAATAGCTTTAGAAATATTCAGATCATTACTATCAAGATTTCGTCCGCTGCAACATGCAACTGACTGTAACATATATCTTTGAGAGGGTCAAGATCACCTAACCCCATCCTATCATAAAATGAGCCTGGAACTTGTAGTGAGGTTGGCTCTTTTAAAGATATTTACTGTTTTGCAGTAAACAAGGACTATTTTTAATTCAGAATTATGTGATATGGCTTACAGATTCCTGTAAATTTCTTATATATGTCTTGGAACCTAAAATTCGTTGTTTTTCTTTACCTCGAGTAACGTTCCGCTCAGGTACTACTTCGGTTTCCACACTCCGCCGAAAATGAAGCACTCCCTGAAAGCGCAGTTACCAGAGATAGCACGGCTATAGATAACCAGAGGTGTCATATCGCGAGAATTACTGGAAAGGGTTGAGTGCGAGTTGCGAAAAATTTTAATTTTTTTTATGACAAAATAAATGCTAATTTGGAACGTTTATGTATTTCTCTCTCCCTCTCTCTCTCTCTCTTTCTCTTTTCTGCATACCCTTCCATTCTCTCGCTGTACTACCCACTTCAATTACCTCCGTATAACCTTTTTCAGTTAAAATATATTTTTAGGACTGTCCCTAATAGAGAAGTATAATTTGATTGAATTCTAATTCCTTGGTTTGTTTGACTTTAAATTTTTCAGCACGTTAAAATGAATGCCGAACACATAATTTGCAGTGGTCACTCAAAGTCGAGTGGTAACTCAAACAGTACATCCAAAGAGAATGATATAAATAGCAATGCAAAAAAGAAAGAAAGGTGAAATTTTTTTGAATTCCATGAGTGAAACAGAAACTTTTCATAGTATATTTATAAGATTCTTTTTAAGATGGATTTTTTGTTCAAGTAAGATATGTAAAGAAGATAACATTTACAATAGTGATAGTGTAATCAGACATTGTTTCACTGTAAAAAAATTTCTTTTTGACCCGGATTATATTTGATTCAGAATCCATCTTAATGTAGTTTAAGTTGTTATGAAGCATAATCTTAAAATAAAAAAAAGCTTATCAATGCGTACTAATAAAGAAACATAAAGGGATGATGTTAGAAAAGTTTGCAGTACAAGTGGTATACAGTAGTTTTAAATGCTTTGCATTATGACTTCCTATTCTGAAAAAATTTAAGGATTTATTATTGTTGTCGAAGAAGGCAATTATTTGTAGGCGTAAGAAAGGGGTGCGATTTGAAAATGTGAAGATCTATCTTTTCGAGAGAACACAGGGATTTGATGTTGTCCCATCATCTGGTGGCTTTGCACTTGGTTTGCTTTTGGCGTTTACATCATGTAACCTTTTTGCAAATATACAAATATAATTGACTTATGGATTTTTTATCAACAACAAATTGTCTGCAAAAAGTTTTTTTTAATTTGGATTATGCAAAAATTATGCTTTGTTTGGTCTCCAAAATATTCATATGTATTCTATGGTCTATATTTTATTGGAAAAATAGGCTTCATTGGTGTCCCTAAATGAGAAATTAGTTTCATTTTCTTTAAATGCTTTAATCTTTCAAAGTTTTGATTGCAGGAATGCAGAAGAAACATTTTGATATGAGTGAAGTTACACTTTGCAATAAAGTGACTGATGATGGCTTAACTCGGGTTTTTGTTTTTTTGTTCTTGCTTCTTATCATCTACGTTCAATCTTTTCAAAATAATCTTTCGTTTTTGTAATATTCGGTATAGAGACTGTTTAAAGTACCTCTTTATTTGTATGCCAAGCATCTGACAACAGCGTCTATTCATTAATGATTCACAGGTCCAGATTTGAGTATGTGAATTTTAAATTTTAGTTCTTATATCGCTTATTCCTTTTTTAGTCGCAAAACAACAAATTGCCTGCAAAAAGTTTGGTTGAGCAAGTGTGCACAGTGTCAACTAGGCGTAGACGAAGGTACTGTAGCGCGTTTGACGAAAACTCTGCAGTGGTAAAACGACGAAGAAGCAGTGATGGATCGGAGGATCAAACGAAAATAACTACAAATGTAGATAGGAGAGAGTCAAAAACATCTGAAAGGACATTTTCAACAAGCATGCCAGAAAGTGTTTTGAGACAAATTGACAGCGTATGTTTTCAACGTTATAAGGAAGGCAACTTTATTTAATGATCATTGTCATGTCATGTTTCTTGTCTCTATATAAGTTTTTCTAATTCTAGGTGAAAGAAGAAAACGAGGAAGATAATATTTGTATAGTGAAGAAATATTTTCGCCCGCTTGATCGAAGAATTAGATTACTCAAATTGCGGAGGGCAGGTTTTAAAAAAATTGTGGTTAGCCTTTATTTAATGTCTTTTATACCGCACTGCTATGATTTTATCGTATTTCAAATAATCAATAGTTAATACGATTGCATAATATTTTTGTTAGTTTTTCTAAATATTTGTATTTCTTCAAGGTTTTTTTAAACTAAATCCGGACTTTCTTCAGAATGACGAAGCGATTTGTGATGGTATACGAGAAAGTCGGAAACATTGTGGTTGTTCATGTGGTACCTTACCATGTTCACCGGAAACTTGTGAATGTTCTAAAAATGGTATCGAATGCTTGGTAGGGCTTCTATTGCTTCACCAAATTGACTATGTAACTCTCTGATACTAGTTTGTTGGTTTTTGGTCATATTGAATTAATTTGAATGGAATCCGGAAGGATTAATTTTAACTTTTCAACATTCTACTGCTAAAGTTGTTATTTTATTTTATTCCTTTCACGAAATTTTGTATGAGGTTGAGCACAAAAAAGGAACAAACAATCAAAAGATTAATTGTAACTGAGCAGTGCCAGCTGGTAACTGTGCATTTTGTTGTTGTACTTATTATCACCATGTAGTTCAGGTGGATCGGCCATCATTCCCATGTACTTGCACAACTGCAGATTGCAATAATCCCTTCGGTCGCCGCGAATTCGACGAAGTAGTGGTTCACACACATTTCCGCTCAATTCTTATGCGTACGCAAGCAGCTCAGAATCGAAAGGTTCGTATGCTATTTCCCATGAATTTCTTATGTTCTGCTTTCTGTTTATACACCTTTCTTGTTTTTCAGCTCAGCGATTTCTTTTCCGCAATGCATTTACGTTTTGGTGAGGATGATTGATGTTTCGGTAGATTCTTCCTGCAGTACTTTAAGAAATATATTTCATAAAAAAGTGATCAGTTTTATAAATGGCTGAGTAGTGATAACCGAGAAAGAAAATAAGGAGGAGACTGCTTCCTAAAATTAGCATTTACTCATGTTCTTGATTTCATTACAGTTGATGTTCAGTTGGTGTTTAGAAGGAATAAATTCTGTTAGTCGCTGATTTAAGAAATTCCTTGCATTAGTTATGCTCTGCTTTATATCAGTGATTTAAAGTACAGTATTAATAATCTAATCAAAAGCTCTCGGGACCTTAGTGTTGTTTAATTTAAAATGTTCGTGAGATATGGTGCGCTTTCAAATGAATTGTTACCGGTATTAATGAAATATGTGGAATAGCTTTATGTTATCTTTTCCTATCATAGTTAAACGAATTAGTAATGGTTTTATTTTTTAATTTTATTGTTGTTTGATTTTAAATTGTTCACGAAATATGCGTACATTTTTTGAAATGTATGAAATGTCGCTTTTTTATTCAGTCGAACTAATAATAAACAATTTGCAGTGTGGCAGTTTACATTGCTGTTTCATTTGAGTGCAAATTTTTGCTCAAAATATGCTAGGGAAAAAGAAACTCTCTAACGAGCATAGTTATTCTTCTTGTATATTATAAAGATAATTAATGGAAGATATCATAAGTAAGCTAGATTGATAGGTTGTTCTTTTCTGTTGATTGTTAGAAAAACTTGGTGGAATTTGATCGAAGTTGGTAGTGTTGTAGATTGTAACACTGATCGTGGTATTGATAGCGGTGCTCATTTGGAACAGAGTCATTTCACAATCAATCTAATAAATGACGCTTATTTATAAATAAGAAATTTTTATTGGCTGATGCTGGTCATTGCAAAGCAAATTGTCAGCATTAGTTCAAAGAACAAATGTTCAAGGTAAAAGAAAAAACGTTTGCTTAATGATTTACATTATTCTGTCATATTACTTGTACTCCTAATCACTTCACTGTGACATCTCTGAGAATCATTAAAATTATCCAATATTTATAACAGTATTATTCTTCGAGAGTATATGGGGAAGGGACGTTCTCAATAGAATGTAAACGTGTTTTTCTTTTTTTGACATTCCATCTTAAGTATAGTTTTTGGCACCTCCGGAGTCAAGAATTTTTTGGAACACTTTCTGGAGTACGGAGCTTTATCCTTCAGGAACAAATCTAAAAATTCAAGATTCAGAAATTCAGATTTATGTGAAATGAGAAATGTCATGGCTCTGAACTTACATTTTCTTTAAAAATATAATGAAGGAATCTTGAAACAATGCTTTAATCTTATGAAATTTTTAAACACCTGATGACAGCAGAATGTGTGTGAATTTAACAAGGCGACTGATATATAATTGTGGAAAAAAAGCATTGTATGATCACTTGCGGAAAAATTTATCTTTGTAATGTATTGCATAGATAAAAAAGCAGTCTGGAAGTAACCGTCAGGGTCAAAGTTTGATGAGCAACGAATATGACGACGAGTCAAAGTAAATAAGTCTGCATGAAACTGAATGTCAATTTGTGCTTCAAATGATCCGTTGAGGATTCAGTTTTTATAATTCTCTATTAAAATTGAAAAACGTGATGATGTATGCTAGAAAGCAAATCGCAATCGAATTATTTATATAGTTCTAGCTAAGAATACTTTAGAAATAAAAAAATTAAAGTATCAAGTACGTCCCTTCGATTGATTAATTAATTCTAAATGTCGTGATCACTTGCTTTAATATATGACTTTAGAACTGAAGAATCGTCAGATTCACTTCAAACAAAAGGAATAGAATTTGCATTTGAAACCCGAAAGTTCAGTTTTTATAATTCTCTATTAAAATTGGATACGATCTATATTGATTTCTTTATAATCGTTAAAAAAAATTTTGATACTTTCAAGGAATATTTTGAATTTCTTCAGTTTCAGAATTTTTCAAGATTTCAGGAAATACACTTCATGAAAGTCTATTTTAATTTGTATTCATTTATAAAACATATATAGATCTCAGCAGTACTGATATTAACCATACTCTTTCAGATCATTTTCCAAAATATATTTTATTTTAAAAACTTGATAAATTGAGATCTGATGCAAAAAAATAAAAAAAATGAAGAGTATAAACTTAAATTCATTGAGTTAATGTATTGAAAAGAAAATAGCTCATTCTCGATTCTTTTCTGCACGAAATAGATTTGACCACAATTTCCTAAACACCTATTTTAATTTCCCAAGCATCTATCCTTAAATAATTGTTAATAAACAATTTATTCATTTGCTTATAACGTTGGATATAAACTATGGAAATTCTAGCTAAATCTATTTCATTGTATATTGCTTTCCAATTTAAACTCATTTCCATTTTAGATATGAGGGCTTAAGTGATTTGAATAGGAATGAGCGGATAAGATTTCTAATAACTGCTTACAAGTTTTAATAATTGTTAATTCGTGACTAAATTAGTCTATTCAGGCAATTCTAATGAGGATATAATTCGCAATTTCGAGGCATATTATGTATATTTACAATTAACAAAGAGCAATTTAATTTTTTCGAGTTAAGAACAAATGTAAATGCTATTTTAAGGTATATTAAAAGACGACGATAGCAAGGTGAAGTGTGCAACACGTAAAGATTGTTCTAATAACAAAACTTTGCTCGATCAATGAAATCCAGCCAGTCTTTTCGAAAGCACTATAAAAGAATGGAGACTCAACCAATACAGATCAATAGGCAAAGCCTAGCAACAGCAACAGTCCAGCCATTATTTATCAACAAGTGAAGTGGCCAAGAATACGCCTTCTTAGTCGACCATATTATATTGATTGTAGCCGATTCAGTCGTAAACAAAATGTTGTCTTTAACATGCAAGAAACTCTTACTTTTCTTACTGGTAATAAATATTTACGAAATAACGATAGCTAATGAAATCACTGAGCTACGAATGTATGGAGTTGAACCAGTTATGGTAAGTAAAATTAAACATTTTACAATATCCAACCAGGTATTTTGGAGTAGGATGGGTAAAATTATTTGTCTAAATCCAAATAATGTCATGATATTTTCCGCTTAGCCTTATTTCAGTCTTTTTGTTTTGATACTGAACGATCATTTTTCAATTGTTACAATTTTTCATAACTTATTCTTTTTATTTCTATTTTAAAAATTTATTTGAAAAATTTGAGAGATTTTTTAAATTATTTATTCTTCCCACTTATTTTATTTGTCAAAACATTTCTTAATTTGAAAACTCTATTAAAATGCTTTTCTAAACAACAAGAGAAGTTTTAATTCCTACACTTCCTTCTGTTTTTGCTATTTTTTGTTTTTTTTTGCCTAACAAACTTGTAATGAAAACTTCATCTTTCCACATAATTCGTGCACAATATTTGTTTACAGAGTGTTTAAAAATTTTTTAATTTGAATTTCGATTTTTTTCAATATTATAAAATTGATAACAAAAAGAAAGGCAAGTCATACCAACCATTTTTCTTCAATAAATCCTGGACAATATTTGTATTTTTTAAGTAAATTTGTTATTGTACTATTGAAATCAATGAAGAAAACAGAAAGAGAGCAAAAATAACTCCGATAAACAGAAAGCTTTCCTAAATGATTTTGCATTAACGGGCAAAAGTTTGAACAATCTATCAGTTTATGAATCATTTAATTTTCTCAATCTTTTGACCTAATCATTTGTTTTCAGAATGATTCTTACTTGTGTACAGTTGCTCCACTCGATTCCTCCATGGAACACTACATTGGTGAGCTTAATTTTTATTTAACTTTATGAAATTTCAATCTTCAGCAGGAAAAATTAAAAAAAAGACAATTTGATATTGTTTTTATTGAAATAATTGATCCATCAATTGCTCACATCTAAAGTGTGTATTATTTCAGTTGGATTTAAACCATATGCAACAATGCAAAGGGCCCATCATATGTTGCTGTTTGGATGCAGTCAGCCGGGCAGTGATGAAGCCATTTGGTCAGTTTTTTTTCTAATAGCGACACTACACATCTTTAAAGAACTGTCTACTTGACCTTAAAGTTATTCACCTCAGTGCATATTCTTAAAGAATCGACCATTCATCGCGGTACACATCTTTAAAACATTTCACACTACCACATGTCTTACACGATCGATTTTGGTTCATTATAAGTATTTTAGGGATTGTGGAGATATGACAACAGCTGGACCGAACTTTCAAAAGGCACCAGTTTGTATTGATCAACCGAGCATACTGTATGCCTGGGGTAGGAACGCACCTGAATTATACCTTCCGGAAGGTATGAGTAACTTAATTGCTTAATTGTTTGTACAAAAAAATGGATTGTATTCTGCTAATGATTCGGCATCATTGTACGCCGTTACTAAAATTTATTTTACAGTCCCGTAATTCCAAGAAGAATGAGAGGAAGTTAGATGACGGACAAAAATCTGATCACATGAACATGATTAATTCATATATCATATGAATAATCGTTATTCTGCAACAACATTACCTGTCAATCTTGTTTACGTCAATTAAAAAAAAAACTACGAAAAAAAAAGACATAGATTTTTTATTTTTTTTTGAAAAATTAAAAATGTGATGTAATAGAGTTGAATGATGTTTGTTGTTAATTTCATGCCTATATTTTGCGAATGCTTATCACGAAAATTTTCTGTGCAAGATAATTTCTAAACTGGAAAGTACAATAATAACTTGTCGCTAAAAGATTCGTATAGAAGCTGGTTGCTCTTTGAAAGTATATTAGATTCAGGAAGTTTGCAACTTTGAAGTTTGATTGTCTTTGGCTTTCTTGTGGACTTTATAAACGTGTAGAAAATTTTCTTCCCCAAAACTCAAAAAATATTTAGCTTGAAATCTAAGGAAGAATACGTTGTTGATGATAGTTGTCCGTGGCCGGGTTTTTAATGCTAATAGCGTATAATTAAAGTGAAGCAGAAAATGTACACTTTGAAGGTGTCGGGTTCAAAGTTGGTGGAGACACAGGTATTCAATATCTCGTACTCCAAGTACATTATAAGAAAAAAGTTAAACCTGATTTTTCTGGTGTGGATATCGAATCAACAATTGAACCATTAGACAAACGGGCATCCACATTACTAATGGTCACTGGTGGAAAGTTACCTGCAAACAAGAGAGGTACCAATATTAATAAATCTTAAGATTTTATATTTCTCCATTTATTCCTTTTCGAACATAAATGGATACGATGAAGTACTGTCAAATTCTGGAAATCTGCTGAATTTAAATTTGAGTTTTATCTTTAATACTTCTTTATGTGTTGCTCATGCAAATTCAGAAACGTTTGAATCGGCGTGTATCGTTGATGAGGACATTGAAATACATCCTTTTGCCTTCCGTACGCATACTCATCGCCACGGTGAAATGGTTAGTTTAACAATTAAATTTTTTTTTCCATCAGCAAAGACTTATTCGTTGATATGTTTTACTTTTTTAAAAGAAAAAGTAAAAATGGAAGCGGCAGGTTAGTGGATGGGTGGTACGACAGAATGAGAATGGTGATGATAATTGGGAGTTAATTGGAGAACGAAATCCGCTTTTTCCACAAATGTTCCAACCAATTAACAAGAACATTACAATTCGGCAAGGAGACGTGGTTAGTTTTTTGAAACTTTTTAAATATCTCAGTTGAGAGTGTCAAAGCATCATTGTTCTTATGCTTATTTAGAAGGAAATTCCTCAACTTTAATTTCAATTAATCAACAAACTGATGGAAACTATAATGCATAGGGATGATGAGATAGGGAAAAAGACTGCAAAAATGGAATTTAATTTCTTATTCGATAATAAAAATATGAAAATAGATATAAAATTGTTGCGTAAAATTCGGTCAGACTAAAATTCCTTCTTCTGTGATTAATTTAACAAAATTACAGCTCACTGATTTAAATAATCGGACTTTTTTTTCAGATAGCAGCTCGCTGTGTATTGAACAACAAAGAAGATCGGGAAATTACAGTGGGAAATACAGCTGATAATGAGATGTGTAATTATTATCTCATGTATTGGATTCTGGGAGATCGTACTCTCAGGTAAGGAGCTCTTCCCATTTCACAATAATGTTTGCAGTGGTCTTTTCAAATCAATCTTTATTCATATTTTGAGCCTTCCTTTAACACTGATCCTATCAATGTTCGATAGATTAAGCAAGAGAGACATGCAGATCCAGTAAGGTCTCATTCGGGAAGCGAACGCCATAAATCACCCATGAATCATTCTCGTATAGAAAGCATAGTGGAAACAAAGAGTTCAACAAGAAGATGTTTTGTCATATTTTCCATCTGAACTGTCATTTTCATCATGACTTGTCTTTGCAATTTGAAAAATATTTTTTCAGGGACAACACATGTTATTCACCTGGTCCACCGGAATATCATTGGAGCAGTAAGACGGAATTAAACAACATCCCAAAATATGAGAAAAAGGAATAAAAGCAAAATTTTCTACTTGATGCGAAAAAAAAACTTTTCTCTTTCGTCCATTTCTCCTAACATATGAAATAAAAAATTTACAACGACCACACGTCCTCATCTTGCCTCGTTAAATAAAAATGCTTCATACAAAAGCTTTTTAGTTTCAACATACATGCACGTCTCCTCATACTTTCGCAGCGGTGAACCAGAAGCAGTATATCTTCAATTTCTTTCGTCGGAAAGAATTTTTAATTAAAAAAGACGTAAGCCACCAATGTGAATTTGTTTTTTAACATACGTTGATACATCCACTGTTGGCACTCATTAAACTCGTTGAGAAGGCAGCATCAAAAATCAAATTTTATACAGAAAAGAGCAAATTCCGAAACGCTGAGTTATCGAATCAACAAAAGCAAGGGAGAGAAAATTGAATTTATAAAAAAGGAACAAAAAATTTTTTATTCAGCACAACAGAAGTTGGTATATTCACCTCAGCAACATTTTCAGAAAGCAATGCGAATTTCATAATTGCTTCTTCAGGAATAGAGTGGCTAGAAAGCGTAAATGCTGTCCTATATTTAAGTGATCAAATGTTAAATGATACAAAGTTCAATAAAAATGTTTTTATTAAAACCTTTACAGTTAAATAGATAAAGGGTTCATGTAACATTGCCTACAGGAAATGATAAAACAAATTTCAAACAATTTCAACCTCAGAATTTGAAAAAATGTCCAAATGAAAAAAAAAACAATGACACAAGAGAAAAAAAACATAATTTGAGCTACTGAACTCATGTGAATTTTTTTTGAATTTATAATTTAATGTAAACCTGACAGTAATAATGTAAACTTGATAATCTAATGTAAACTTGACATGTCTTAATTCAAAAACCTGCAAGTGGAAGAAATACATCTCAATTTACCTGATATTTTTATGTACAGATGTCATATTCAATATTGAATAAATCGCTTTAAGGAAATTTGTTAAAAATTTCTTAAGTCATCTATAAGGACTCTAAATCAATCACAATCATGTTAACAGTTAACTTCCCACTACAGGATAATTCTTCGATCCTTTATTACATACTACATCTGTCACACTTCAAAATAAAAATTGTGAAACATGAAGTGTAACGGAAGTTAAAAATAGGAAATAAGTGTTAACACTTCAATCCACTAACTGATATGAAACTGACTAAATAAACATAATGTTATATAAAATACATGCTCGGAGTATCTGGATTGAGAGCAAAACTTTGTTCGAGCACACGGGTATTAGGTTCACTTCTCGATGTTTCACCCATTCGTCTGAAATGTCGAAACAATTAAAACTGAAGTGCATTTTCAAGTCACAGCGTAAATTTGATTGAATAAAGGTAAAAGGTGTCGGAAAATCCGAAAACTTGTGATATCAAATTATTCACATCAGTTGACATTTGTATCACTGACAGTTAAGCTGAGGAAACTGTATTTGTCTCTTTTTGATTTTAAATTACATTCAAATTGTCAACAATCTGTCATCGTTAACTTTAATTTCTTATCATATGACTTCATTGTGTTGCTTTAATTCATTAAAAGAGATTGTTTATAACGCCTTTATCCCTTAATTGCTCTTTGTTTCTTATGAAACCGATGTAGCTAACAAGTAATCTCACAAAGCCCTTTGTTCTCATTGCTTCTTCATACCCCAATATGATATTGTTCTGACCTTGGTATTAGCTATTCAACCAATTATCTGCTATCCTCGTACCGCCCACATTGGATATATAAACAATCAAATATACCAGAGGGGATCATTATTTTCAAATCAATTTCTCAACACCTGTGTGCTTAATTGTCTCCACTTCCAACTATCATCAAATGAACTACTGATCATTTCATCTTTGATACCAGAATTGTTCTAAATAATTCCCAACAATAAAATAATTCTTAACAATAGTTTATTTATGAATCAACAGTAATCAATCTACAACACTTTCACAACAGAACGTGTAAAGATTTTTTCCTGAGTAAAGACGAAAAGCCGGATTCGATATATTCAAAATGAAAAATTTTAAATTCAGTGTGTCAGACTTCTGAATTTCACATAGTTCAAATTTGTCCCTTGTATCAAGCGATATTTAATTAGTTAACATTATAAAGTTAGACACTAATATCAGTTGTACTTTTTTTCCAAGACAAGCGCACACTAGATAAAAAGGTACATACATAGCTTTTTTGATGAAGAGAGATAAGAATTTAATTCAGAAATCTGTTGTGTTGCTTCAGAAAGCTATGAAAAGCTTGTTTTTTAATGGTGGCATTAAAAATATTCTCGTTCTTTTTTTGTTGTAATCATGGAAATGTTCTTCGATAAAAAGCATTTTTTTGGATCAAAAACTTACGTATATTTTAAAAGACGCTTCGCTCTATCGCACGCTAAATGGGCATAATAAACAGGTGCTGGTATTGAAACCGATTTATTGCATCGAGCGTACACATGGCATAAAGCATAAATCATTTGCTGAAGAATGCAAAAAAACACTATGATCATGCTGACAGTATACCATTAATGAAATCGATAAATTTTTTCCAAGCATAGTAAAAGGATGCTGCATGTGCAGCAAATTTTTTTTAAATCGAAGCTTCGGAAATCTCATGGAGACGAAATATGCAATTATGAAAAAACAGTTAGCATCCAAATGTAATCAGCAAAATACTAACTTGCCAATCATCCGCAGATAAATGCCATGAATCATAAAGAATGATATAGTGAGATGGTCTTGATGTCCCCTGAAATACCCTACTATTAGTGAATGCTTGAATTCCAGCAAGATTTAGACAATCTTTCCATCGGTACCATTTTTTGAGTTTTCCAATTTATCAAGTAAAGTTCTGTAGAACGACAAACTGTTGAGCTTAAATGTAAGTAATGGTGTTCATTGGACCAAGTGCCAACAACGAAAAAACGGAAAGTCTAATTATTGTCTTAATAATTCAATAGATTTGCAATAAACAGCAATATCGAAAATCGAAGTAATGCAAACATTCAAATACTCCAAACCTTTCGACGACAAAAAAGGAAATATAAACAGTAAAGAAGAGATTTGGAACATACAATAGCACCACGATGTGAGCATAGATAGAAGTCAAATCGTAGTGGACTCGTTATTGTGTTGTCAACGACTGTTCCTGGTGATACATTTCCTTTGTCTCTAAAATGTAAATAAAAATAAGTAGTGTTGGTAACACACAGAACGCGCTAAAAAAGTCACTTTCTGACAAAATTCTTGATTCGAAAAACACTAGTTGTTTGTGGAGAACACTCTTTTCCATTATTTTTGCAGAAGAACAACTTAGTGTTTTTCGAATCAAAAATTCACTGATTTCTTAGCTTGAATAGAAGATTCTGGTGTGAGCATACGAACGAATGATCAAGAATATTCATTCTCACACTTTCAATAAATAAAGTCACTACAACCTGGATTTGCCTTAAAATTAATCATTGCATACATCAAAAATTCTCTTTTCATTTTCCATTGTATTAGAAAATATTTCCACCTTTCCATATCTTGTTGGAAAAAACGAGTGTGATGCCTTTTTTGTACTACAATATAAGAAACTGTTGGATTGTACTGCTGATCTAGCTGATGTATAGCTGTTTTCAAACACAACAACTCATCGTTCATGACGTCCAAGAATTGAGAATCCGAAACACCATCACTAAAATACTGAAAAATTGATGTTGCCGCAAATAAAACTATGGATATTTCTGTGTGATGGGAGAAAAAAAAATGGCAGTATATAACTTTTCATGATGAATACTAAATGTTAAAAAAGAAAATGAAACGAAGGAAAAATTTATAGGTTATGAAAATATTACGTTATTAAATTCTGTTTTGAAGCGCTTATATTAAAATAAACCAAAATGTCGAACAGCTTACCGAAATAGCACTATATGTCCCGGTTTACATCCTGTTTGTACGCTAAACTCCATAATACGTGTTCGGAATGCATCCACGGTATACATTACTACTTCCATTCTTGGTTGTTGAATTTTCAAAGATGCTGCATATCTAGAAAATAATTCTGAAGAAAAAATAAGTAAACAAGTAATCACACGCGTAAAAGCATTTATTTATATTTAATTAAAAAACAAGTAATAAACGAACTGCTGTTACAACAAAATTTATCCTTTAATTTTCTAAAAGAAAATGACTTAGCCATGACTTGCTTAAGTAAATATCAAACCTTGTTGCACTAATATTTAGTGATCCAATAATAGCAGCAATTGATGGAGTTGAAGAATCACCTGAAGGTGGATGCGTGACATCAATACCCATAAATAGAGTTGGGGCTTCTCTATCAATAAATTTTTTCCAGCTGAAAGAATATCTTGAATGATTTTTAAAATAATTTTTCATTTATGAAAAAATAGTGAACTCCTATATTTTTTATACGTCAAAAATAAAATGATACATATTACTTTTATATTTCTACATCTATGGTTGAGTTGATAAAATTTCTTTCAGCTGTTACCAATCTTTTTTCACAATAATTATCTTGTACAAATTAAAACCTTATAAACCACAGTCGCATTGAGAAAATCAAGCAGTATGTACCCCCTATATTCAATCTTCATAGCTAAATATCTAAAGTACAGAATATCGAAATTACTAATTCTGGTTTCGCGCCACTTCACTGTTAATGCCATCCAACTTGACGTTTATTTTCAAACAAACATTGTGAGATACAGTATTACGCCTTGGATTTCCACGCATTTTGAGAAATGTTTCGGTAAGAATTACTTGACACGCTACACCCTCCTCTTTATCACATGTCACTTTTATTCGTCCTGCAAAGAGATTATGTGTTGCATCAATATCAAATTGTGTCGCCACCATACATTTTTACCAAAATTTTCAACATACCATATATGTCATCGTTCTTCACCGGAGTGATGAAGATCATCAGTGGCTTCAGCTTTTCTTTCCCTATTTCGTTACACACTTTTTTAAAACTACGTACGTAAACATCAGCTTCTTCTTCGCACGTATTCCAATTATATATCTCAACAGTATCGGCTCCAAAATTTTCCTTTACAAATTTCATACCAAAGAATTTGCAGGTGCCAATTAAAGTATTGAATGGTTCTCTGCAATTTTATATAATTCATAAACATTCCTTCACGCCACTTATTTGCTGAATACATGACCCAATTCTGAATGAAAATCGAATACCGAAAGTTCTGTATATTAATAGCTTGATCAACGAATACAACAGCGAAGTGAACATCATTAGAGGTTTCAAAGAAACCATCTTTTAAATCCCAAGAACCATTCATTGCTGGTAATTCAATTGTCTGAAAATTTCCGTCAAACAATTTACAAGCATATACAAATTTTTATAGGAGTTTTAACTAATTTTGATAAAATATAAGTTTCTCGCAAAAAAATTTTATTTAATTTCTAGTAAGCCTCTTTTATTTACTTAAATATCAATCAAATCAAATAGAGAAAGAATCCTCCTACAAACGGGAATATCCATTGGAAAAAATCCTCCTACAAACGGGAATATCCATAAGAAAAGGAAGCAATAAAAAAATTGTAAACAGCTATGATGTGTTCCGTTATCAAAAATAACCAAGCAAATTATTACCTTAAATTTGATCGCAGGTGACGGCAAAATTCGTCCAAGAATTTTTATTGATTCAGGGATCCCATTTTTGACTGATGGGAAAGTGATTCCAAACTGCTCAAGGAACTCATCATCGGTGGATATTCTCATTCCTTTTAGAAACCAATCAATTTTTCTGAATCTCTCCAAAGGACTCAGTGCCGTACCCTTAAATAAAAAAGAAATCCAAGAATATACAGTATATGATTACGAATTCCAACAAAACTGGACAAGCAATTTTATCTATTGGAAAATTACTGAATAAAAGCAACAACTATAAATCTTTTGAGCCGGCTTCTTATGATACTATAATTTGTGCTATGGTGAAGGGAAAATTTCTTTTTAAGTGAAAAATTTCTTTCACTTAAATCGTCTTAAATTGAGAAGCACAACTGAAGCATTTCTGTATACTTACTCTGATCAATTTTGCGACCTGAAACGGAGTCAGACGTTTTTTTACACGCTGTACTTTGTCAGATAACCGCAGAAGTTCCATCGGAAAGTAATCCTTCCTTGTTAGTGTTCCACAGTGTAAAACTGGAAGGTACGGAAATTTCAAGCGTATATCTAAATGGCAAGATCTGAGATAATTGACAAAATAAATATGAAAAAAATAAGAGTAAATAAGAGAAAAATAAAACTTCAGAAATACAGATTAAAACTTGTTCTACTTACACACAAAGTTTTACAAATTAGAAAACTACTTTTATAACGAATGAAATACTCCTCGATAGTCAATTCCTCAACATAATCATCGCTTCGCATCATTTGAAATCTAAAACTCAATCCAAGAGTAGTAAGTAGTAATCATAAAAATATGGAAGAACAAAGGAAGGATGCATAGCTAAATCAAAATAAATCAACCTTTGTATTCGTGCAGGTTGTCCAACATCAATAAATTTGACATGTCTGTTATCATATGTCAATTTAAGCATTAAACCTAAAAACTTCTTGATTTAGCGACTTCTTAAAGACAACATTTTGAATAAAATAACTAGAAATTAAAGTATTTTGCAAAAATTAATGATATAGCCCTGATACTTATCCTCCATGAATCTAAGTGTAGCACCAAAATAACTTTTCAGTGAATTTCCAGAAAAACTATTAATACGAATCAAACTTCTATTTATATCCAGAAAAAAATGGACTGTAATCTGATTGGTAATGATGGTCGGAGCATGTTGGTTGACCGCAACTAACAACAAGAACTCTGTAGCATAAATCTCACATATGGATCTTCAATGGACAAGTGCACAGTCCCTATTAAATTTTCGTTAAAATATCTACAACGTAAAAACAAATAATCAAATGAAGCCAACACCCATCTTTCATTGCATCTTTCAGCTGCTGCCTTTGATTAACAGACAATGCAAATGTTTCGCTTGTTATAATATCGATATCGTACGGCTTTCTTCGACCCACAAATTCATTTAAGACTGCCAAATAGAAGTCAATCAACCACATGTCGACTTTATAAAATACTTTTGTAGATACTGCAATGATCAGTACATAATTATTCAATGTATTATTAAGAAGCTGATGAAAATGATTCCGAAACCATGACTGCAAAAAAATCGTTCGGCTTACTGCATAGAATACAAGCACCAGCAATTCCGTTGAACAGTTGTTTAAAAATTAGTTGTCCAACTAAAGCATGCCCTATAAGTATTTTAAATGCTCAACATAATGCTGATACTCACTTATTTGTCTAAAATATATAAAAACTTACTAACCGTCTACATTTAGCATGAGTCCTTTTTCACAGCGTTTTACAGCACTATATAGTCCTGTCCATGCCTCCATTCCAGGACCCACATTTAGCATGCTATGGGGAGTGCTTTTACATGGCTTCATATACATATATTGATCAAATGCATAAAAACTCGAAGCCATAGCCCTGAATTTCCATAAACTAATTGCATGGAATAAAGAAGTTATAGTTTTTATTGCAAAATAAGTTATATACAAAAAATATATTAGCTGAAATAAAAATTTATTAGAATTTTAAAAGTACTTAAAATTCTTTTTTTTGCAGAGACTACGTTATCACCGGGCCCCTGTGTTTAAGTAAATATAACAAATACTAGTGCACTTACATATATGGGCAGCGCACTCGTTGTGTAAGCAAACAATCTAAAAACTGCATACTTGCCCGGAAATTTGGTAACTGCTCATCGGTATTGACAGTAAAGTAATTAGCGAGTGATATGCAAACCAGGAACGATACATTAGGTGGCTGAAAAGTGACGAATTTTTAAAGCAATGAATATCAAGAGGATAAAAAAAGAAACTCTGAATTAGTTGCAAGGATCAACATAACATCTGCATGCAACTATATCAAGCTTTGTAGGAAGATTATGAAATCACAAAACAAAGTCATCACTTTTTATTTCTGATGCTCACAGTTAAAGAAAATTCACCAATTTCCAGAGTTCTAAAAATTAATAAATTCAGAATACACACTTTCAAACCCGGTTTTGGTTCAATGAATAATTGAAGTTCCAATGTTGATTTCTCAATCTTTAGTTTGTTAAGAGAATAGAGCGTATGGCAATCATCATACGCCAGAGAATATCCTGTGCCAAATATTTCTTTGTTATTTGAAATGATTTTCCAAAATATTTCGCGACAAGTATCTCTGGAAAAAAACTTCGTAATCTGTAACATCTCAGGCTTTTCCACTTTGTAGAGATTAGAATTAAGAAAATATGAAATTTGAAGAAGACATATGCCAACAGTGACGCGTACAATTCTACAATCCACTTACTGCTATCATTTCAAACAATTTACAAAAGCCAATCCGATGAAAAGAGCAAAGATGCATTAGCGTCCACTTCAGAATAATAGTCTTTAAATTTTTGAATGAAGAGAAAATTTGGTTGGCGTATTTTAGCAAAAGTGAATATGAGGGGTTGATTGAAGTAATCTTTTCAACAAAATATAAAAAATATAGTAATCAATATAAGTAGAAAAACACGATATAACGAGCTGTTCCAATAAGTGAAAAATAAATTTAACATAAAATCAAATTAAAACCTGTTTTCCACTACAAGTTTGTCTTTCACAGTTACTTTCAGAATATCCACATGGTAGCAATAAATTTGTAGAGAAGCAGGTACTCCCAAGAGCTTGAAGTTGACCATCAGCTCAATACGCTTACCTAATTCTCCACGGTTCGGTCTACACGCCAATTCTCCGATTTGTTCATGCTAAACTTTTTATTCATTACTTTATATAGGTTTATATAATAGAAAAAAAAACTCCAAATTTATCTATATGTAACTGGAAAATAAAATCAAGAAATACCTTTTTGTCAGCGGATTTATCGCTGACAGTACCAGACTTCAACTGTCTACCACGTCCACGTCCTCTTCCCACTAGAAAAAAGATAATTCAATTTACTAGCAGATTATGTAAATATACTGACTAATACAAATCAATAAATGAATAAAAGATAAACAAACGTCATGAAGGCTCCTAAATGTGCAAGAATTCTACAAACTACACTTAAATGCAGTGAGAGCAAGTAAAGGTACAGTATATGGGTTACCCGACAGTGCTTATTTTTATTTATTTGTATTTATGGTGGATATTATTTTTGGCTAACTGACTGTTAATACAGAACAGATAAACGTCATAATGCGATTAACAGAAATATTATCAGGTAGGGATTACGAAATGGATGCAAACCTGTGGAACTTGTGCTCGCTTCGCTTTCAAGTGAAATATTCTTAGCTCTTCCTCGTCCTCTGCCTTTCATTCCCGATATTTTCTTCCAAAGAAATCAAATAATATTGGACAAGTAGAATTTCATATAATGGAGATTTAAAGGTATACGTAGCTCAGCTGTTGAAATAGCTTCAACTTTTTTTCCTTAACAGACAATCACGGTGACCGCAGACCGTCCGCACTAATTCTATCCTTACTCATACTTTTCTCGAGTCAGTACAGTGTACCGAAGTCAAATCTTAGATTTCCTCCCCCTCCCTTCCCTCGCTACCCATCTCCTCCATTCGCTCAAGTCAGCAACGAATAGAAACCTGAACTATGTTTCTGAGACTCCACCTCTAGTTTTCCCTGTCTTCCTCGAGAGTCCTTTCCCAAGCTGTAACGCCATACTCTCGCCACTCTTATTTATCCCATCTGTACACTCCTCTTCTGAGTCCTCTTATTGACTTCAATAAATTAATTAGTCCTCAAACAACAGCATAAACGGATTTATAATCGATTTAGAGATATTGACAATGCAAAAGGTCAGCGAAATAAATTACCATGTAACATCTCTTCGGTCACTTATTCACAAATACACACGATCTTTCCCTCCTCTCCTTACTTTTCCATCACTACTTCCAGTAGCAAAGGCCAAGTTTGAAGAGAATGATATGGTCGGTCCTCATCAGAAAAATGATCGATATCAAATTCAAGATAAGTGCAGAAATATCCGGCCTGAATATCCAGTCATAGGTCATCTCCATTTGCCGGTTTGGAGAGATAATTTCTTCCCTTAAATTCGACCATTCCAATCTGACCTATTGAGAAATAGTCACTGTTAGTACCGGTTTCTACGATATAAAAATACTTCAATTATTCCAACGAACTTGTCATGAATTATTTAGTTCTCTGACAGATGTTGTTGTGCAAGCTTTTTTTACGTTGTTGTGATTGGTGTCAGAAATCCGAAACTAATCCATGATACAAAATTATTAAATTAAATTCATGAAAAATATTCCTCAGTAAAATATAAAAATTTATTCTGACAGTTAAACGATATGTATAAGAACATATCACTTTACCAATAAATTTCATAAGAATTATAGTTATGTTTATAAAATTGTACTGTTTACTCTAATAATTGAAACGCATATAATATCTAACCTAATTTACCGTAGCATTGTATCTCATAGTGCTTCATTTGACCATAAATTTTCCCATGAACTATAATTACGTTTTATATTATTTACCTCAAAGTGTGAATATATTTGAATAAATTAGTCAGCACTATCTTAAGAATATCATGTTTCTGTCGAATATGAACATTGTTATTCACTTCGATCTTTGATGTCTAAAATGGTTATATAAAACCGCGTATTCAGTACTCGATCATTATTATTACCTCTGGTAGCACTGTCCGCAGTCAACTTCTGCGTTATCAGCATTGTTGCCAAGTATCTATCCGACTCAGTAAACTGCATCAGCTAGCATAGTTTCTCACTATATCAAAATCGACAGTGTCCGGAACAAACATTCTAGACCAAGACCCGAAGAATGAATCTAAGCCTAATTCATTAGATCTTGATCTAATAGAACGATCAACTCTCATCTCAAGGAAGCACAATTAATCGTACAGCGTCGATCCAAAGGATATCTCTCCTAAAGATAAAATCTTCACCAGCAAATTCAACCGTGTCACATAACAGCAAAGTTCTCCCAAACCAATCATCTTTGCATTTGAAACCTTATTATAGAAACAGTTTGTATAACATTGGTGAAATGATAGAATATGCTTTGTTTAATAATTCCGTTCATAAGCGATGCTTTCGTACCATCAGCTTCATCTTCAAAACGAAGCTGATCGTTGATTTACCATTAGCTTTATCTGTTATATGCTCAGACAATTTTTTGTTCCAGTTAGTTTCATTCATCAAATCATTACATGATCTTTGTCCATACATCGAATGAACTTTTTAATTCATTTCTTTAAGTATTAAACTGTCTACTACATCAAATGCTTACCGAGCACCGTTTATATATAGTGTGCCTTATTACTCGAAGAGGTCAGTCTCAGTGCCACAATCAGTCAGGCACAAACGGTCACATCAATTATATTCTCCTAAATTTCGGACTCAACCAAATTCTTACTACTCCCCATCAAAAATTCAAAACGGTTACTTCAGTCATCATCAAGAAATCTTCCTCTTCCTCTGTTAGCAATGCAATTGTCATATAATATTACCACCAATCAACCATAAAGAACAAACCTTCATAATAATAATCGTCTGTGAAACAACAAACCAATATCAAAAATTTTCACGACATTTGCTATCAAAGAGGAATTGAAGTGTAACTCACTTTGACGTCATAAAAGCGTGACCCGAAGTATAAAGAGCGCTTAAATAATATCGTTGGAATGGAATGTCTAATCGAACATTCCTATTGGGCATTCCTATTATCTTTTTAGCAAAAATGCATCATTTGAAGTACGATGTGAAGTTGCTTGTGATAGCTATTCCAATGCTCCGGAACTTTTTACAGAAATAGGAATTCCGAAGAAATGATAACTATTAAATAACAGTGCAGCAAACGGCAAGTGCCAAGGAAGATATTGAAATTGAATTTCGGTTGGGAAGAAATGTTCAGTGAACCGATAATTCTTCCTTTCAACAACGATTGAAGTCAGTTGAAATGATGTGATGGAATGGTTTATTCTATTCCATTAAATTTGAAATAGAAATGTGTTTTGGATGATTATATGAACAATGATGACATCAATTGAAAAACATTGTTTATGATGCAAATATAACTGAATAAATTTATTAATAACCGATATACTCCGCACACATTTGCATTCCATGTTTATCCTTCCAACTTTAAACTTTCGAATTTCCTATTAAAGTTTGACAAAGATTGAAATCTCTATTGCTTTGCTAAAATTACTAAATTTGGAATCAAACTTAAATTTTACAATTGTTGAGAATAATTTTAACTTTTTGCCTAAGAAAGCACATTCTGAGATATTCATAATGATCAAATGATCATTTAGAAGGGATTGATTACGGCAATCGCTTGAACAAATCAATCATTCTTCCGCTCCATCTCTCTGAACAATCCAACGCATGCATACCTATCAAATTCATTGCTAAACAAGGTGATCAATGTATAGTGATATTTGCTATAAAGAAACTGAATGGAATCATTGAGATTTTGAATCCGAAGATTTTCCTTAGCTGCCTATGTATTTTGAAAGTTTACCTATCTTTTATGATTTCAGTAAGAGTATATAATTTCATAAATTTTGCAGACATAAATGTTGTAGAATTAACTGATGCTATTTGAATTAGATATTTCAATAAATAGTGCTCATGTATAACATCTTTTACAATATTTTTTTAGATTGCCACTGAATAAAACAAATCTTTTTTCGGTATTTCAAATTTTAATTTTAAATTTGAACCAGTTAGATTTTCACACATTTTCTAGGGAATTATTATTACTTTATTTCGAAACTGAAATCAGTTAATTACTACACATGATTGTACAAGTAAAAAGGATAAAATCCATCAAATTGAACTTGTGTGCTGTCAAATATTTTATCGCCTTAGCATATCTTTTTTGTCAAATATTCATCCGACATATCTTTTCAGAAGGTATTGAAAAACTATGGAAATATTCGTAACACGAGATAATGCAATGTATTATAAGAACTAACACACTGTAAGCTGTTCATCTATGAAATTTAATTGATGTATGTAACCAACTTATAAATTTTACACAGTTTTTAAGCTACTACTTTCAGAACGCCAATGAATGCTGTCACAACTGTGAATTAATAGTTGGACTAAAAAAATCACTTGGTGACATAGGTTTATTTGGATAACATTACTTTAATGAATGATATGCTGCATTGGTGATTTCCGATCATCTTCCATTATTTCTCTGACAATTTTAACGTTGTAAAAATAATGTCGTAATCCATCAGTCATTCTCGATATATTAAATTCCTGCCGTTACTCCATTCGCTGTTGTCATTTTTTTCTATCACTTTTTTCTTTCCGTTCTTCGTAATATTAAATTTTATATACATTTCATTTCAGATTATTGCAGTGGTCAAATTGCCGGCCCAATTCTCGCATACTGCTTGATAACATTGTTGAAAAATTTGCTAATGGACCATTTTGCTGGACTATTCCCCCTTCACATCAACTTTCTTCGCTGTTGTACAACCAACAACTGCGGGAAATAATTGTTAAAGTTATTGCAGACGATTACAATTTGCAGTATCACATAAGTGCTCCAACCAAAGTTGGAAGCGATAAATGCAATGCGACCGCTTTAGAATATGCATTCGTGATTGCATCATGCATTATAATGCAAAATGTTAATTGCAGAACTGCAAGTCAATTCATTTATTTATAAAAACAAAAACTATGATGCATTGGTATTCATTGTTTATATCAGAATACTCGTACAGCGGTTTAACTACGCTCGGTCTTTTAACTACTGGAGGGATGACGAAGGAATTTGAGGATACTTGGGCGTACAATACAATTGGTTCACCCTTTCCGGATAACCCTGTTAGGGTGAAGGGTCAACAGAATATGTACGTTGCACTGTGGTATAAGTTTGGAAAGCCAATCCATGGGCGAGCCTGGAACAATAACGGAAATGTAGAATGTTCATTTCCGTACAACAAGGTTGTATAATACTTCATACTTCATCTCTGGGAATTAAGAGAAGAAGTCAATAAGGTTTAGACTTTTCCGAGCTTTTCACGAAATCGATTACTTCGTGAAAAAAATGATGATATGGGTAGCAAGTGATATCCAACGATCAGCCATATAGTTTACTTTGTTCATTTCATCTCGTTTCGTTCGTTTTCATTTTATGTTTACTTTTATTTTAATTTCAAGAATATTTAAATAGGCATTAATTTAATTCATACTCGTAATGATACCTTCAATTTTTGCTTTCTTAAGAAAATGTTTTAAACTGAAATTAAATTTCACAGGTAGAACTAACAGGTGCTCGTGATTTGGGTGGGCAAATCCAAATTCTAACATGTAGCGAACAGGATCCGGTCGAACAATTCAAAAAAAGTGGTTTTTGGTATGAATGGCGTCCATACAAAGATCGCGAGAACGATCAGTTGCTACAGTTGGTGCGCTGCGGTCAGTCAACTCCGGTGTTGATGACAACTAAGGACGGGAATACCTTACTTGGTTATATCGACATGAGCAAAGACGTCGCCAATGTTGGTTACAAGGGTAAAAATGAAATACTCGCAGGTGGTGAAATTCAGGTAACATTGTAGATATATGTGAAATTTGTACTACTCATACAAATTATAATAGAATATATTCAGGTCAACTTCCAATGATCTTTGAATGTTAGAAACGAAAAAGAGATGAATACGCAAATAATTTGTGTTATCGTAAATTATTTCACCACATCTCGTTGTTCGTCCGATAAATTTTGTTGAAAACATATGTACTGCACAGAATTTGCTGGTCCTCTTTCGAAATATCAAAACTCCGCCAACTGGTATTAGGATTTATGAAGATACCTGGATTGATCTCAAATACCGTGATCCATTTCCGGCGGCAAAGAATCCGATTCCTGTAAGTTAAAAAAGGCAACATCTCTATTTATTCGTTCTTCCTCCATTTTCTCTTCCGCGAATTTTTATAATTAGAATTTATTCATTATTATTTAGGGAGGTGGCCGTAAATTAAAAAACGATGATGGCTCAGAAACATACAGTTATGTAGCATTATGGTATAAGCATGGCGAACCGGTTTTCGGACGAGCTTATCCGGATTCGAGTGGAAGAACATTAGCAAATTTCGGTTGGAATGGCCAGGAAAATTCGGGTGCAGAACTTGGATCTATACAAATGATCGTTATTCCGCAGCCCGAAAATGTTAGAGCTATGAATATGAACATGAAATTATAACTAATACATGAATCTTAGAGGAGATTTGCCAGTGGATATAGTTGGGACAGAGAAATAAATTAGACTTGAAAAAGTATGAATATGGATATATATTTGATTTACTCAATTGCAGCTTGGCTTCGAGTACAAATGGATACCATACAAAGAAGTGATGGGCGGTGCTGGTCCATTCAAACCGCTTCATGTCGGTGATTGCGTGCCGTGTGTATTGAAGACCGCAAAGGGTGCTGAATTACTCGGGAATTTACATGTGAAGATGGAAAAAGCAACAGCCGGCTTTGGTGGGAGGGATTCAGCGATGGTTGGACCAGCTGTTTTGGATTTTCTTGTGCTATGTAGAAATGGGTACAAGTGAAGCATAGTCCTTTCAATGCTACTACTAATCAGTCCGTGTGATAAGTGATATCTTGGTCTTCATATCCAGTGTAGTATTTATCACTTATCACTCATCATTGCTAATTCTTGAGCAATAAATTAATTGGACAACACACACAGCTTTTATCAACATAACGTCGAAATCAGTACTTGCTCTAATTCAATTAGGTTAATGATATTACCATCCTTGATAGAATAATTGTATTTTTAAATTATTTTCGAATAAGTTTATCAAGTTATGAACTCTACCCCTGTAACTGTTCATGCCTTTCACACATTTCCACCTCGATCATCAGAATAAGTTTTCCTTAGTTGCTGTCATTCAGTAGATTTCTTCAATTAAGAAACTGACATCGAATAAATTCTGATGGAAACACTAAACTCAAAAAGAGATTGATCATTTTATATGATTAATATCGTACAATTTGAATAGATTACTATGTTTTCTATAGGCATCGAAGTTGATTATATCTTTTCTTATCATTCTGCTGTAAGATAGATGTTCATGACTTTTGTCTACCGACACAGTAAATGTTTCCAAGTTTAATTTTAAACGTTCTGATCAAAATTCTTCTATAAATTGAAGCGAAAAAAATTTTTTGAAGTTGCAACATCGATTTAGATAAGTTTACAGTGTGATTTCAATATTTCTGGTCCCAATCTTTTCCACTCACCGGCTACAGTAGGCATTAATATTTCGAGATGCCTGATGCCATGAATTATTATTGGCTAGCTTCAGCAAGTATTTTTTTTTACGTATATTATTAATATTTAATGTTGAAAAATGGAATGAGTAGAATGACCTCCATACCTATTAATTTTATGTTTTTTAGTAATTCAAATTATATAAATCGAACTCTGGGATCTTTAAATTTCTTCAGCTGACTACCTATTTTTTGACAAACATTGTTAGTGTTACAATTTCTAACAACATGAATAGAATAACAATGGAATTAAAATTTTGCCGCGCCTTCTTTTCCTATTTATTTGGATCAAAAAATTAGAGCACAGACTGTGCTACAAAATTTTCTTAGAGTTATTCCTATAAAAGGTTAAAATTATCCTTAAGAAAAAAATAACTGTCCTGTGATTCAGTCAAACTCGATTCAATCAATCAATGAGTAAAAAGAAATTTCCATTATATAATTCGGAACAGTACTGAAAAATACCAAAAATCCACTTCAGATAATGTTTGATGAGAAATTCCTTAACTTATATTAAGCGCTTTGAACAATATAAATACGAATAAAACGCCGGAAAACATATCAATTCTGATTTACATCTACTGACTTTTGGAAATATTTTTCTGAGATAACAGTATTCTATAAAGCTTAGCAATTGGTACGGTACAGCGGCCTTATAACGAAGCCAAATATTTTTAAATTTCGCCACCGTTTTTGTACAAATGAATGAGACGCTGTAGTTCAGCTCGTTGATCAACACCTTGAAAGACATAAGGCGCAGAGAACAATATACCACAAGTACCACCGACTGTAATACCGAAGAAAACATATAACAATAATCTATCGATAATCATTGCCACATATTTCCAATCATCGCGAAACTATAATTAGGTTTTAATCGGTACTACGTAATAATTAAAAAGAGCCAATTTTTCTAGATCTAATAGAAATTTCCCTTTTTCTCTTGTAGATAGCATTTATGGCTGTGTCAGAGATGATTATACCATCAGCGCAAATTTCATTACCTTAAGAATTTATTTTACATTACATTCTAGAACATTGTGATCAGTCACTCATCATCGATGGCCATTTTCCCTATCAGCGAACATTTATTAGAGTGTAATTTTCAATGATGAATTAGTAAAATGTAACCATTTTATATTCCTCATCCTGCTTCAAATGATTAGTTATATATTCGATGGCGTCAATTGCACGTAAAGCGTCTGGACTAAGCGGATAGTAAGCACTTGTGGATGGATCCCTTTCCAATTGCTCCATACTATCCACATGAGTTAATTCTATTGCTGGAGGTTGTCTGAACAAGATACAAACATGCTAAAGTGTAAAACGTTTTGTCAAACGTAGTAATGAATTGTTGATAAGGTTTAAATTTGAGATTTATAAAACGATCTTCTTTAAAATGCATTTTCTACACTAATATTAAATAATTGATTCATACCTAGTATCAGTATCAGCCGATGGACATAACGGATGATGTATGGATGGATTGAATTTCAATTCATTGATACTGGGAAATGCAGCAGTAACTGAATGTCCATTTTTCATGGTAAAGTTACGCAATAATGGTTTTGGTCTTTGCATACACAATAATTTAGGCATTATCTAAAATGATCAATAAATTATAATTACTCATTGATTGGCTACTTTCATGTTACTCATTGATTGGCTACTTTCATGTTCAGTATTAACAAATCAATTCTTTTTTTCAGCAATTCACAACAATGTGAATTATAATGTAATTCAATTCGGAACATTTAAAATTTCAATAAATAAATTCCGTAGTTTTAATAAATTCTGATAGTTCATTATCCTGTTGACAAAAAGAAGCAAAAACATTTTTTAATTACCAAAGTTATGGTTGCCAAAAAACAAATGCAAAAATATAAACAAAAGAAGGATATTATTTCAGAATGATTTACAGAACAGTTTTTTTTTTATTTTTAACATAACATTTGGTAACTTTTATAATACCTTCTGTAACAGACTGTAAAATGAAAAATTTGGAACAGTTGCACAAATAGTTCAGGAAATTAAAACTAATTCAAAAAATTGGACCAGTCAATAAAAGCAGTACTGCGATGTATTCACCTGCAAGAAGACTGTTCGTACCCATTTGGGCATGCGATGAGTAGTTGGGCCACGAAAATAAACGTTAATTATAATAACAGTAACGAGTATAGTAATAACGTTGAGCACGAAAGTGAGCAGTAAATATTTGGCCATCAGTGGGATTGTGGACGAGGTTGGCGGTAGAATTTTGGAGACAAGCAACAGGAAAACAACTATTGACAGTAATACTGATATGGTGAGTGTCATTTTCTCGCCTGAAATATGACATAAATTAAAAAAACCAGGTTTTATAAGCAAAAATGAATTTCTCATGTAAAACAGAATTTTAATCGGAAATATGTAAATGGAAAACCTGAGTCAGTGGGAAGGAAAAACACGGCCATACTTAGAAATGCCATTAATACGGTTGGAATGATTAGCACGACGGTATAAAATAAAGTTTTCCTCCTGAAAAAAAGATATATTAGAAATTTTGTAATATAATGAAAACTTGCAAAAATTTGTTTGATTTATTAAACCTTAAAATTATTGAGATAGTTCCAGTGAGAGTGAATAAAGGACATTGGTTGACCAGTTGTTTTTGAATTTGATAGTTCTTCAGCCATGTAATTGTTTTCCAATAAATTTGGTTAAGTCAGATATCTTAACCAAATTTGTTTGGAAAATGGCTTTAAATAAATTTCAAAAATGTTCTGAATATGTTTAAATGAAGTAAAATAATTTGGTCTCCTCCAGAAAATCTAAAATTAAAATGTACATTTGAGAAGGGACTGATAATTGGTTGCGCTTCATTATTTTGATAAAAATATCAAATAATACAGAACAAATTCATTAGCAACTAAATTTTGTGCATTCCTTGAGAACAGGAATTTAATTTATGTGTTAAATTGATACGTTCATCAGCTGCACTAACTTATGTAAAGCAATTTTTTGTTGAAAAGAGCTTAGTACAACTGTATAAATAAAATAAGAGCAAATAATGAGTAATGAAACAAATATTAAAATAAATAACTTGAAGCACATGTATAATAAACAGCAAAACAAAGGATGCACGTTGAATTACCATGATTTGTGTTACCTTATTATATTTTATTCCGAGTTATACTTTACCTTATCCTAACTTGAAATTCGATACGTGAACGTTTATTGACTAAAGCGGCAGGTGCGTCCATAACATCCCAAATTGAGCTTGGTGCATATTCCGATAAATCGACCCACTCTGCTTGCTCGAATTCAAGTTTTATCTCATTTTCATTGTACTGCAAATGCAAGTTTTTCACATACAATCAAAAGTTTTTAGCCATTCTTAATTTTCTTTTATGAAAAATTTAGGATAAAAAACGACTAGAAAGAAAACAATTTTAGAGCTAGTACGTGCAAAAAAGCTTACTGTCCATGAGCCAAAAATCAAATGACATGTTTGTTCATCGAAAGGAAAGAATTCAACATCAATGATGCAGGAACTTTTGTAGATCGCCGGTGGTACCCACAGCATTTCGCCTTTGTAATTGATCACAACATTACACATAAATGATACCTCATAGTTTCCATCAGCGCTATAATATTAATCTCATACTTTAATTCTATCAATTAAGTTATAAAAACAATAATAGTGATTCACCATCACTTTTAATCAAAGTTTACACTTTACTTCTGCAGATCCACTTAGCCACTTAGTAATGCGATGTATAAAGGTTTCAAGCTTGAGACAGTAAGTCAACGTCACTTTAATCTCTTAGTTTAGAGAGTATTTTTGTCTTGAGAGTGACTATGCGAATCTAACATTTCTTACAAAAAAAATTTCAAGAATTACTTAATAACTGTCCCCTATAGCTTACTTATTGAATAAGACGATATCTGGTAGCCAAACTTTGTCCGGTGCAACTCGAATATTTTGAATTTCACCATAATCTACCGGATTCCAACGCATTTGAAAATCATGCCATTTCTAAAACTTCCGATCGAATGAAAAAATGCATTCGCCTTTAAATGATGCTATGAATTTATCAGTTTTATGTTCTGCCACAATTTTTAATTAAATAGAAATTTCCTTTCTTTTAAATGACTGGAAAAAAATTATTACTAATTTAAATCAAAAATTCTGATCAGTTTACGATCAAATATTTTGACTGACTTCAAACACGACTGAAAATGATGTATTATAAAGAATGGTGACTAACCAAAGTAAGCCACACATTTGTGTGCA